CTTACAACTACGTATCTCATCAACAGAATTCCTTCTAAGATTCTTCATAATGACTCACCATATCTCAAATTACATGGTTTCTATCCCAAATACTCTTCTCTTAGAACCTTTGGTTGTTTAGCATTCGCTTCAACATTAACAGCTAATCATCTCAAATTTGAACCAAGAGAAAAGATGTGTGGTTTTCTTGAGTATCCTCCAAATATGAAGGATTATAAACTTCTTGATTTCGATACAAAAAAGATTTTCTATTCAAGAGATGTTGTTTTTTCATGAAAATATCTTTCCTTTTCAAAATTACTCTAAAAACTCATGTCAAGATGTTGTTGACAAAATTTCCATTCCATACCTCTTTGTTGATAATGACATTGTTGACAATTTAGTTCCACAAGTTGACACTTCAATTCCTGTACATGATGATCAATCAAATGTATCTCAAGATAATGTTTTAAGGAGATCTACTCGTATACATCAACCTCCTTCTTATCTAAGAGATTTCAATGTAATGTTGTCACCGATTCTAATAATCCACATTCATTGCATAAAGTTCTTTCTTATGAAAAACTTTCAACCAAACATCGTGTTTTTCCTATGTATATTTCTGCTACATTTGAGCCCAAAAATTGTAATCAAGCATCCAAATATCTAGAATGGTGTTAGAGGCAATGAAAGCTAATCACACATGGAACATTGTTCCATTACTAGCAAACAAGAATACTCTGGGTTGTAGGTGGGTATATAAGATCAAACATGGTAGCGATGGGAAGATTGAAAGACATAAGGCAATATTGGTGGCTAAAGGTTTTAACCAAAAAGAAGGATTTGACTATGTTGAGACTTATTCTCCAGTGGCAAAGCTAGTAACTATTAAGATGCTTTTAGCTATTGCAGCCATTAAAAAAAGTGGAACATGGTTCAATTAGATGCCAACAATGCTTTCCTCAATAGTGAATTACATGAGGAAGTATTCATGGTTCTTCCACCTGGTCTTAATGTTAACAATCGAGAATAGAAACGTTCATCAAGATTAGTATACAAATTGAACAAATCAATATATGGTCTTAAACAAGCTTCTAGATAATGGTTTGAAAGATTTTCTCTATTTAGGCCCAGTTCTGTTTTTTTTTTTCAATCAAAATCTGATTACTCTTTGTTTTATAAGGGTAAAAGAGATGACCATGTTGCTTTATTAGTGTATGTTGATGATATTATCATTATAGATTCATCTCAATCTGGTATAAATCTCATAAAAGAAAAGGTAAGTCAAGAGTTCAAACTTGAAGATTTAGGAAGTTTAGGATATTTCCTTGGATTAGAAATTGTTAGGTCAAAGGAAGGTATTATGGTTTCTCAATGTAATTACACGTTAAAATTGATTGACGATGCTGGATTATTAGTTGCAAAAACCAAAAATACCCCTATGGAGCCTAGATCACAATTGCCTTCAAAGGGTCAAGTTTATAAATATCCTTCACAATATCAAAGATTAATTGGTCATTTATTGTATCTCAATATCACCAGACCTGACATATCCTATGCAGTTCAACAGTTATCCTAATACATTTCAAAACCAACCATCGAGCACTACAATTAAAAGCATTCAGTGATTCTGATTGGGGATAATGCAACGATCCGAGAAGGTCAATCACAGGGTTCTGCATTTTTCTTGGTGACTCATTGATTTCATGGAAGTCAAAGGAGCAATCCACTGCTTCAAGATCTTCTGATGAATCATAATATCGTGCTATGGCAATGACCCCATCTAATTAGTTTGGATGAAGCAATTGTTACAAGATTTTGATGTCAAAATTATAGATTCAGCTCTTCTTTTATGTGATAATGATGCAACTGTTTAGATTGCAACAAATCCAACCTTTTCACGAGCATACGAAACACATTGAAGTTGATTGTCACTTCGTGTAGGAAAAAGTAGTGAATAAAACTATCAAATTGTTATCAATTTGATCAGCAATGCGGCTTGTTGACATGTTTACCAAGCCTTTACATGCTTCTAAGTTGTTACCTTTCATGGTCAAGATGGGATTGAAGAATATCTATTCTTCCCTTCCATCTTGAGGGGTGAATATTGGAGATAAACTATAAGGGTATTATTGTAATTTATAATAGATAGTCGGTTAGAATCTATGTAGTACTTAGAATCGTTTTACTTTTCCCTCATGTGTAAAGATGTAACAACTTCATTGTTGAAAGTAATGGACTGATTACTTTTCTGTTAGATGATATATCATGATTCCAACTACAATTCAACGTCATAATATTATAAAATATTTAATGTAAATACCTTACTCAACCTTACACTTAAACAAAGACCCTAGGAAATATGTAATCAAATAATAAGATCCACAGTACATGTATAAGTTACAACACTTAACATAAGCATACGTTAAAGGCTCCATATTAAAGATAACTTAAGATATTTAACCAATAATCAAATGATCTCATTAAAAGGCTTAACTCTTGTTTTCATGGAAATGTTGTTGCCAGTTTGAACATGTTTACTGGAAAAAAAAACTTAGTTCACTACTACCATACGAACCATAGGACTAATTAGTCCCATTCTTATTATCTACAACATCAAACAGCTACTGCATCACCTTGTTGTTTTGTAACCATGATTGTAAATAAACCAATATCAACATTACAACCTTTGAAATTCCAATTCTGTCATTCGTTCTTTACTACATTACTTTGCCAATTCGATTTAAACCAAAAACTAAAAGAAAAAACCGCTTCCAAAAATCCATGAAAAGAAAAGAAGTACAGAAAAATAAAATCTTAAGAATTTCACGAATATACTCACAAATAAGAATTAGAATCAGAAATTATGCAATACATTCGCATTAAATGAACATATTCTTTTACCACTGCTGCCAGTTGGTATCTACAATGCGTTAGGGATTCCAAGGCTTCAAGGTTCAATTTTCAAATGACGGTGTGAGGTTACTTACCTGAACCGTCCAGTCTCTTCGATATCTGAAATGGCATCGCACACACTCTCCTTCGTCTTCCAAAATCGGTGTAGTGCACATATTTTTTACCTCGCTTCAAGTCGATCTGTTGATGTCTCTTGTCCCGAGCTGGACTCCATTTTACTTGGACGGAATAACATTTGATCCAAAATAAATATAAGAATGCATTGATCCCTTTTCCCTATTGATGACCTAGGCTGTGGTCCAACTCGCAGTTTACAAAAACTACAAACCGCACTGCAAACTATACCGCATAGTACAGTTTACAAAAACTACAAAACACACCACAAAAATTTAAAATTGTTTTATGCGGTGCGGCGTGGACGGTTTGTATAGTTTTGTAGACACCCCTAATGTTCGTGGTGTTCAAAAACTTGTTTATATTGATTAAATATGTGTCATTAGCAATTTATCATCTCCCCTAAAGTGCAATTATAGTATTAGAGACGTTGTTTTTTTTTTTTTTATATAATTTTTCAAAAGTAAATCATTTTTATAAAAGTATTATTAAAATATCCAAAATGGAAAAATTAAGTTTAGGTAGTTGGTCAGTAGTCGTGATCTTTTCAGATATCATAAACATATATTTATATTCATCATATATAAATTGGTCACTGTTTCCTAAACTACTTTCTTTATACAAAAAGTCAACAAAACTATAAGTTTGATGCGTATGGGGATCTCTATGTCTAAAATTGGAATGGAGAAGGAAGAAAAAAAAATCTTATTAATAAAAGTGGCTGAAATAAATAATGGAAATACAAATTCTTTAATAGCCCAACACATCAAAAGAAGGATAACGTCAAAACAAAGATAACTTGTATAATATGCATCAAAATTAACAAATAAATATCAAACCAAAACAAACCAAGAAATGGGAAATTTTACCTAATCAGAGTCGGCACAGACTATGAGTACGTTTGCAAATATGATTATATGAACGTACTTGTGAAATAATTTTGCAAGCTAAAATTTTTCTACAACAATAACTATTTTGTTGAAAAAATGCTGCATTTAGGGCATTTGTTTATTTGAATTGATACTTTACCAATTCCATATAAGACAAGGCCCCGGGGCCCAGGCCCCACCCAAATCATTAGTCGCTCTTTGTCGATGTATTAGAGAAAATCTCATCTTAAAATTAGTGTTACATATTCGCTCACATATATGTCATTGTTATACGACTTATACGTTAAGAATATGTGGTCAGTATGGAAGACTTTTACAAATAAATAAATAAATAAAATAGCATTTAATATTGTTATGATAGTTATGCCCATTTGGGAACACCCGATAAATTTGGAAGGTTACAAAAAAGATTAGTACGATTCTACGCGAAGAAGACACACATATAAATCGAGAATGGTCTAAAAAATATTGTGACCACATTTATAAATAGGGATGATGACTTGAGAGTGTAACATATTATTGTTTTTTGTCACTAAACTTTTTTGCGTGCTCTATAGCCATTTAACTTGTTGATTCGTGTAAAATTTTTCCCCTATGACCGATTATAGCTAGTTGCATCGGTCTAATGTGACTTTTTTTAATCCTAGGTGGCCAATGAGGTGGCATGTAGGCCCCGATTTTGCCTCTCATCCTCATTAAAGTTAAGAGTGCAATCTCATTTGGTCCTTAAATTCGATTAGGGCACCAAGTCTCATTAACCCCCGATTTTGTCTCCTTCAATCTTCAATCGGTCTCTATAATGGCTTCATCATAATGTCCCACTGATCGAAACTTCATTGTAGTGGATTTCCACTACAATGAATGTTTGCACCCAGCCTATTAGTATACTTTGATCCCGATAGACAATCAGTAGGAGATGTTAACTTTAGTGCCTTTGAGTACAAGGAGTTCATTGAATTCCTTCAGAAGCTCACTAGAACTAGAAGCAAAGACATCTACTTGTGCCTTCCATAAGAGTCTTTAGGTCAAGGAATTCATACACTGGTGAATGAAGGTGATTATAAAGAATTTTTGGATTTGGCTTATGCAAATGAGAGGAGAATGAATGTGTATGTGGACCACCATAATAAACCAATCTTCGAATGGATTGAGGAAGAGGAAAATGAAGATCAAGACTATAGATCTGAAGAGGATGAAGACTCAGTCTTATCTGACACTTATTCTGTTGACCATGAAGAAGATGATGTTGAATATCCATTCCCATCTAACAAAACCATAGGTGACAGGTTCTTAAACAAACTTTGTCTACATATATTAAATGTAGATGATCTATATGAAGATGTTAAATATGTACAACCTCAATACCCTGTACATGATGATAGACAACCATGGAATCAAATGAAACCACTGTTAGGTATGTGATTTTCTAACCCTGATGAGCTTTAAAACATGCTGAGCAACTATGCAGTTGCTAATGGATATGATATCTGGTTTGAAAAAAATGACTCCCAAAGGTTGTTAGTTAAATGTTGCAAAAAAACAAGTCATCTACTTGTCCATTTAGACTCTGGGCCTCTTGGATGAGTAAAGAGAAGACTTTTTAGATAAAATCTTTAGTTAGTGAACATAATTGTAGCACAATGTTTAAGTTTGGTTCCATAGTAACTTATAAGTGGTTAGGCAAATAGTTTATGAGTGAAATTATAGAGAAGCCAAAAATAAGTGTTAGGAAGATGAAAGCTAAAGTTTCAACAACATTCAATATAAATGCGAGTGTGAGGCAATGCATAAATGCAAAGAAATTTGCATTACAAGAAATTGAAGGAAGTCTAATTGAACATTATAGGAGATTATGGTCATATGGTCATGAAATTCTGCGGACAAACCCTAGGTCTACTGTGAGGATAGATGTAGACATCATTCCAGATTCCACAACTTTGTTTTCTAAGTACTATGTCTGCTTTAAAGTTGTAAGTGATGGTTGGAAGGAAGGGCGCAGGCCTATGATTGGCCTTGATAGTTGCTTTTTAAAGGGTATTGTTAGGGGATAAGTTTTGGCAGCTGTAAGGAGGGATGCAAACAACCACATCTACCCTATAACATATTAGCATGGGTTGTAGTTTGGGTTGAGAACAAGGCGACATGGATGTGGTTCATAGATCTCCTCATGGATGACATTGATGGTGGTCTTGGTGCAGGCATTACCCTTCTTTTTAATGGACATAAGGTGAGCATTGGTTCATATTTATACATCTATTATTATGCATGCTTCACTAAATTTGTTGTTGTTATTTGTAGGGGTTGGTAGAAGCAGTAAAAGAAATGTGTCTAGAAGCTGAACATAGACAATATGCAAGGGACATTGTGGCTCATTTTGCTAAAAGGTTTACTGTCAACATTTCAAGAAGTTTTTTTGGAGGGCTGTCAAAGCTAGTACTGAACAGAAGTTCAAACATGTAATGGAAAAGATCAAATCTTTATATACTCAAGCATATGACTACCTTATAGATAGAGATCCTACTACCTAGTCTAAGGCATTTTTAAAGAGGGAAGAGATTATGATGCAGTTGAGAATGGGGTGAGTGAGAGTTTCAATTATGCTATTAGGCATGCTAGAAGGAAACCAATCATCACTATGCTAGAGGAAATTAGGATATTTGTGATGGAGAAGATATACAGTCAAAGAGTAGAAGGAATTGAATGGGATTTGACTATCTGTCCAAGTATTAGGAAGCTTATACAAGATTTAAAGGTTAAACAGAGGTAACATGTAGTTTTACAATTCAACAAAAGGTTTTTATTTGTTTTGTATTATTAGTTATTGATTTGTAGTCATTATTACCCTATACAGATTGTGGGGGGTTACTCCTTGTGGTTATCAAAAGTATGAAGTTAGGTTCAATGATGCAGCATATGGAGTGGATCTAATTGCAAAGACTTGTAGATGTAGAATATGGCAACTTATAGGAATATCATGCTTACATAGAGTAGCTGCAATCTCTTCCCTGAATCAATATGTAGAAACATATGTGTCCCAATCATACAGTAAATAGGCTTATCTAAAATGCTACAATTATAGCATTAACCCTCTTAATGGTAGTGTTACGCCCGTAGATCCGACTAGTCAATTTAGTGATAATAGGGGTCAAAAATGCCTTTTCGACAAAAGATTATTTTGAATAAATAATCTTAACCAAGTTGTAGAATACGTCTCAAGGTTTCCGTACATATAAATAATGTCGAAATCCGAGTTATAACGAAGAACTTATGGCTCGTCGAAGTTTTTCGGTAAAACTGACACGACACCGTGAGACGTAAATAGTGAATTTATGAAGGAGGACTTTTAGCCTTAGTGATCTAAACAAAATTTGTACTATACATTAAACTAAGAATATACAAAAAATAATGCCCAAATCTGACTTCATATGAGGAAGTTATGAATTTTCTAAGATTTGGCATAGCAGTGCACGGCCCGAAACTCGAATTTTAGATCGAGCAGTTTTTGGCCCACGTGACATAAATGAGAGTTTAATATCTCATTAATAGGAACTCAACTATAAAAAGACAGACGAAAACGGACTCCGTATGAAGGAGTTACGAATTTTTCGCGGTCATTTAACAGTATAATCTCCTCGTACTGTTAAATTTAAGATTGGTCGAGAATTAGCCGACGGAATCTAAATAAAAGTTGTAGATCTTGTTTTTACCTACGCGTAGATATAAAGAACGTCAAAAATGGAGTTCGTATGCGAAATTTATGAATTTTTGAAAATCGGTTAGTTTCCACCCTATGTGATGCCACGTGTCAGCATCAGGTTGTGCCTGGGTGTCTCCAGCTGGCTCACGACGCGGGGATCAAATGAAACGAAAGTATCCACAACTTTTCCCAAACTCTTGATTTCCCCATCAAACTGCCAATTTCGGGACGAAATTCCTTCTAACGGGGATGATGTGACAACCGTCAAATTCTGGTCAAGTCAAAGTAAAAAAAAAAAGTCAACAAGTCAAATCGGTCAACTCAACTAACCCTTGTATACTAGATTTTATGTTACGTAACTACTGTACAGGTCATTATTCTAATGAGAAATCATCAATTGAAAAGTTCGTGTATCTAGACTTCCTTAACCTAAGACTGTGGTAAGTAATGAACCAAACTGATAAAACAATGTTGGGTACTCATCGAGAGTGCGTAAGATCCTTAAACACGGCTTAACGGGGTTTACGAACCTTGCGTTGCAAAGCTGGACACTCAAAAATGTCACAAACGAAACCTCTCCCAATCGTTTTCACTCTATCTCTCTCTATTGGAAATCTCTCACAAATCTCTCCCGAATCTCTCTCAAAAGTTCCCGTAACTTTTCGTAATCATTTGGGCCATCCCGACCCTTAACCAGGTCAAAAACGGGTTGAAACGGGGTAAAAACGAGTAAAATAGGCTTAAGGACCCGAAACCTACCTTATAGGGCCGAAAGTCCCCTTAAGCGACCGAACTGCTAAGCCGAAGCCCCAAGACCCGACCCCGAAGGTCCTCTCGGGCCCGAACCTCGCAACTAGGGGACCGAACCCTTAGGTCCATTTCGACTTCGCCCAAGTTTGCTCCTAACCACCTTCACCTTCGGGCTATTTTGCTCCAACGTACCTTCGGCCCAGCAGCAGTAAGGACCGAACCTCGGCCAATACCGAGAAATCTCACAGATTTTGCCTTTCTTCCCGGTTTTCAACTAGTTTTGCGTTCTAAGCCCGAATTTAATTATTTTAGCGTGTGGTTTTCAACCAAAAACATATTTTAATATATAAAACCCCTTATTTCATAATTTATCACGTTTTGGGGCATAATCCTTATCCAAGAAGAGTGGGTGGGATATTATTGGTGGAGTGTTTACTTTGCTTTAGTGTATGACACAAGCAACCACCCCATGCCCACTCCATGACCAACTCTTGTCCTTCCACCATAACTAGTCATTTCATTGTACTCTCCCCACCATTTACCAACCACACACTTGGTAAAGGGCTAGAAAACCCTCCTCTCTCCTCACATTTCTCTCATTCCTCTCACTTTCCACTAAAGAACAAACTTCATTTTCTCTCACTTTCTCTCTCTAAAATTTCGAGATTCAAGGCTATTCTCCAAGTTTTTCATCTACTTTTGGTAAGTATTATGACCCTTTATATGATTATTTCACTCCCTTCTATCCAAATCATAGATCACTTACACAAATTCCATCATTTTGGTGTTAGATCTTCGAATCTTCTAGCCACATTCTAAGTGTTCTTGAGTTGAATACTTCCCTTATTGAACACCCATCCACTGAAATCATTCAAGGTGAGTTCATACCCCTATATTTTCATGTTTTCTTAAGTTTTAGGGGGGGGGGGGGGGATTACAAGTTAAAACACCAAGAACACAACTAAACTCAAACATCAGCTTTCAACAGAAAAGTTAATGTTCCTTCACGGACTGTTTTGACTATCTTAAACTCAATATTTTTTAAAACTGTTTTATATGAGAACATTTAAGGCTTAGACCTTTAAAATGACTACTTGTACATCTCCATACGAGTTTTCTACAATTTATAGTGATTTTTACAAAACTGTCTATCACTGTAGCTACGAATTCGGACCAGTCTATGAATATGGACATTTTCCCACAAGTTAGAGGTTACTAAAAATCATAATAAAAATTATGAATAAACTAGACACAATTTCTAAACTCACAGAATTTACGGATTTAGTTTTTGACTCCGTATGATTTTTCTATAATTATTCCAAGAACAGGAGCAGAAAAGATAAATCTATCAAATTGTTAATAACTCATTTACACCTTGTAACTTGTTGAGCAAGGTGTGTACTATTATATACAAATACACGTGTTTATATTACATCTCTTTTACCTTAGCATAAAAGGTCACATCAGTTACAAAAAGGATTTTGAACATAACAAATCACTTTTGATAAGCTATTATAGGAATAGTTTATGTTTCACTTACATAGAAACGGTTTCATATACATTACCAACAATTAGGATAAACTACAATAGAACTAGTTTATGTTTGAACCACATTCCTACTCATTACAAACGGTTTCCAGTTCATATCAATGGGGTACGAATACAAAGTACCAGGTCCATACAAAAAGGGGTACATAACAAAGTATTGGATGTTCTTATAAATGGGGTACGAATACAAAATAGTGGGTTTATACAAAAAGAGGTACATTAAAAACTACCGGGTCTTCATATAAATGAGGTACGAATACAAAGTATCGGGTTTATACAAAAATGGGTACATTAAAAAGTACCGAGTCTTCATATAAATGGGGTACAAATACAAAGTATCGGGTTTATACAAAAAGGGGTACATTACAAAGTATTGGTTAATCATAGTATGGTTATAGCGACTCATATAGGGAGTTAACGACACATAAAGTTTACGGGGATTTTTATAAATCAAAAAGGGTTTTATGTTGATTTAAAATAACTTCTTATATCAATAAGTACGGATATTACTGTACACTTTCGGTCTTGGTATTTAAGACTACACATCATTTTTGTAAGCAAAGTATTGGATTTTTCTTGGTAACACACAACACATTACAAAGAACGGTTTCCAAACTCTTTATCTAAAAAGCTTATGAACTCACCAACTTAATTGTACACACTTTTTCAAAACTATTTGTATTCTCATGAAATCAATGAAACCAAGTAACCACAAGCTTTTGAGGATGGAACGCTACGGCGTTGAACAACTATTTTTATATCATGTCGTGATCAATCATCGAAATATGTAATACCTGAAACCATGTAATTATTTTCTGATTATATTTATGATTGATTGTATTTACTTTGAGCACTATTATACTTGTTGTTGTGATACTATACATGAAGTCCGCCACGCCCGGACGTTTCCGCCATCCTTGGTTTGGGGGTGTGACATATTGATATCCGAACATTGTTTATAGTGAACTAAGTATATTGAACCACATAAGATATACAAACTATAAATGCATTGGGACTAAGGTCTCTAATTTAATATTTTCAAATAACTATACTTTTAGAAATAAATAGTTTCTTGTTAAAAGTATACATGCATGTATACATACTAAGGTCATCATTATTCTATAACAAAACAAAAGTAATGATTGTTGAATGGCACAAGTAGGCTTGGGGATGTATAGTCAGGTCTGGGAACGACATAGCCTGATCAACTATGTCTAACCCAAAAGTGATTAGCATATGCCCAGGAATGCTTGTGGCGTTGCAACAAGTCTAAAAACTTACCAATTCTATCTACAATCAAACATAAGACAAACATTAAAATACTATAGGAGTATTTTGTGATACTATAACCAACTTATATGAAAACTAAAGACCCCTATTAGTAGGTCTATAATGACTGAGTGCATACACTAAGGTTATACACAATTAAAGATATTATAGACTCAGAATCTATGACTATTGCTCTACTTCCTGTTCCTTGTTTGGTTGTGGACTTAGAGTAGAGTCATTTATTCGAAGGCCTATTCTATCTTAGATTATGTATAACTGGTATGCACTATGTGATTATAGACGTGACTCATAAGGATCACCCCTATAAGTAATTAATTATAGGATTAGACATCTATTAATTGTCTCTTTCACTCTTATTCTCGCACATATAACATGGAAAGATTCTACTTACCAGGCAACCCCTACTTTCCCAACCAAAGAAATGGTGGATGGTTAGGAGAGGAACCCGAAGAAGAACCCAATGAAGACAAGGAAAAGTCGGAGGAGGAACCGGAAATGATCAACCCTCCATACATAACAGGGTTCCCACAAACCGTTTCGACTACACCTGACTTGTGCCCCGTTGGGCAACCGTGATCGAGGGTTGTAGTCAATAGCAACGACAACGATCACCATTTGGAGACCAACATGGTTGCCAAGACCTCAACCACAAGGGATCGAGTGACAGAGCCCTCCCGAAGAAGACCCGACAGATTGCGAACATCGGGGATCAAGATAGGGAGACTGTGAATAAAGTCCGAGAACTGCATGCTACCACATATGCTACCA